GTGATATAAGTAACTACATTTATGCCCAATAATAGGATTGTATTGTACTGTGTTCAATGTATCAAAAACAATGAATTTCTGTCTTTTTTTATGATCTTGTTTTTTTAATGATTTTTGAAAACCAACGATTTTAACAGTATGATATTCAAAAGTCAATGTGAAAACTAAATACACTAATTTAATTTAAAACACAATATTGTATTCCAAAATAGGCAGTGGCACTAATTGTTCCTCACATAACTGATTGTAATACAATAGAATCTTATCCTTGTGATCATTCATGCATAGTTATTTAGTACATGAAAAAAGAATTTACTTTGAAACTTAGAGGGTAAATTCAAGCAATTTGATTAGACGAGGAGTTGTAAATATGTGCTAAATAGAAGACATAGCTGTTTAATTGCATAACTTATTGTTTTATATGGTAGTAACCTTATATACATGACAATGAACCGTTAATCGTCATTTGTCAAACCCACCTTTTAATATTGTTATTTAAATTGCCTTATACTTTAATGAAGATTCATTAAACTGGTCGTACTTAATCAGCAGAAAATTAACAGGCCAGTGAGTTTGCTGCATTGCTAATGAATATTTGAATATCAAAATGTAAATGTCTTTTGTGATTAGTAATGAAAAGGATAGAACGATAAAGAAAATAAAGTTAAGAATTTATAATCTGAACTTGCAACTTTAAAGGCAGCTTTCCCAAAAGAATAGTCAACCACGATACATTTGATTGACCTCTTCTTGCCCAGCGCAAAAGGCTAAATAGTTCATGCGTGGTCGCATGGTCTGAACAAAACAAGTTTGAAGATTCCAGGGCGATGAAAAAGCATAAAACAGTACGATTTAAATTGAAAATAAGTATTTACAAACCACCGTCACCAAAACATAACACAGGTTGATACATATTATCCTACCAAATACCAGTGGTAAATTTCTGTTCTTTTGAAGAATGATTTTGTCGTGCTCACACACATTGGATATGCAGGGTCGCACAGGAAAATATAGGAAAATGTCGCATTTGGTGACAAATCATAGAGATGTCGTTTGAAGATTCCGGTTTCATATCATAAAAGGATCGTCTGTCACGAGTTGATTATTTGTTTCCGTTCCACGTAGAAATTGATTGCATGCTTTTCCATCCCACACATTCAAACACACGCACATTACAAAAAGGACACAATATAACTCCATCGAATTTAAAATCTTAAGTGCTATAAAACTGTTAATTATAATCCCTAGATAATCGCTTTATATAGTTATCTGTCAAATATCAGTAATAAAATGATAACACTTCTTCTAAAATGCTTTACTTCGGGCCTTCAGGTTAGTGCATTAAAGGTAAATTGTAAAAAGCACATACTCAGTATATATTGGACATTCTCATTAATGTTCAGGTATATACAACACGTTAATCAAACAAGATAAAACAGTAAGAAGATACAGATTTATAGCATTTTGCATTGATTGCAATACAACCCTATTACAATACAATAAAGTATTGATATACGTTTCTCCTTTTATAAAACACATGTATTAAAACATATTAAAACATACAAAATATATATTTGAAAAGCAATTCATAGAGAACTAGAGAGACGTTTTTTCATGCCTCCGCCGTAGGCGAAGGGGACATTAAGTATTACTATTGACCGTCAGTCCGTCCCAGTTTTGTTTCCGCATTCTAACTTAATTTGCCTAATGCACACTTTAAGAAACTCATACACAATGCTAAGAATCAAAAACTTGCAGACAGATTTCGAATTTCGGCAGTGAGTCACTTACCGTTTTAGAGTTATGACCCTTTAAGAATTTGAAACTTTGCCATTTTTTCGTTTTCGCACTCTAACTAAAGTTTGTCTCATTTAAATTTTATGAAACAATGCTAAGAACCACAACACACAGATAGAGTCCAAATTTGGGAAGTGATTCATTCACCATTCTATAGTTATGCTCCTTTTTAACTTCGAAAATTGCAAATCTTGAACAGGGGGCATTCGCTTCCTCATACACATTCTTCTTTTATTTACATATATGAAACAAATAACTTTATAGACTTAAAACCATTAAATAAAATATCTACACGTATTTGAAAAAATCTACGACGTCCATTTTACCTAAAAAGTGTCTCTGCAGGTTTTGGCACTCAAACGGATGACGGATCTTTGAGTCTGCTGTAAATTTATTTACAAACGTTTAAGACTCGGGACAGATTTAGAGCTTGACATATTGAATAGATTCCTGTCTATGATTTAACTCCTATATGTATTTTGACCTCTAAATGTATTTTATATATGAAAATAAGAAGATGTGGTATGATTGCCAATGAGACAACTCTCAACAAGAAACCAAATGACACAGAAATTAACAACTATAGGTTATCGTATGGCCTTTAACAGTGAGCAAAGCCCATACCGCATATTCAGCTATAAAAGGCCCCGAAATGACAAATGTAAAATAATTCAAACGAGAAAACTAATTTAGTTTGTTTTGTCATTGGATTGATTTCTCATTAGATTAAACCTAAAACTCCTCTCCTTTTATTCGTAGAAATTTGTTAAAAGGGTATACAAATCCAAGCCCAGATATGGAACAATGCACGATTAAGACAAATCAAAAGCATGGAGTCATTTTGTTACTAAAAGAGTAATCATATAATTATTTGTGATAAAATATGCTTCATAACATATTGAAAAAGTAAATTCGACAAAATTATCGCCGATTGTAGAAGGATGTGATCAGTTTATAGACACATTTATTCGGCAATGAAATTCCAAAATATTTAAAAGGCAATCTGATTAAAATGCAGATCCTGTCTCCACGCTTTGTTTACAAGAACTGTTAGCGAAACATGGACACAGAATGTGTATTTTTAATCAGATTGTTTTAAAGGATATTTGATTTTGTTTTATTGTACAAAACATATTTAGGTACGCTCGAGGCCAAAAGTTTGAGTAACGTAATAACAAATACACATTAATTCATGGGTAGTTCAAAAGAGAGGCGAACGATACCAAAAGGACATTCTAACTCATAAGTCGAAATAAACTGACAACACCGTGGCTTAAAAAAGAAAAAGACAAACATCTGATTCATGCCACCTCTAGAATATGTAGTTTCACAATAACTTTGAAGCCAACATTTGGGTCTTTAAAGATTAATGAATCATGGGTATTCATAGACCCATTCAGTTTCTTATTCTGATTTGTATCAACGACCTCGCAGTCATAATCCATTCAGAAAGAGTATCTACGTATTCTTTCCCGCGTTTAACCCATTGTCTGGCATAATCCTCGACTGAATCCATCAGTATTTTGAAGTTGTGTTTCGACTTGATGGATTTCGGGGCTTTGAATAACACATTTCGCAGAGAAGTATTATTGACAATGTTTAGGTAACCAGTAGTAAATTGGTCAGCCGGATCATATATGAATGGGGAACTAGCACAGGTGCAATCAGGAGGTATAGACTTAAAGTCGTCAATATTGAGATCCTGCAACACGTGTTTGTAATTGAAAAGTTTAGTTGCAATTGGTTTGGTATAGATATAAAGTAAAATAACATAAATACCGAACTCCAAGGAAAATTTAAAACGGAAAGTCCCTTATCAAATTGCAAAATCAAAAGCTCAAAAACATCAAACGAACGGAAAACAACTGTCATATTCCCCACTTGGTACAGGCCTTTTCTTATGTAGAAAATGGTATAAGAAATGATAGGTACAGACTGATCTTTAAAATATGGAGGTATTTTCGAGTGAACCGATTTATGATGAAGAATATTGCCCAAGCTGATGGCATCGAGAACCTTTGTTGGCGAAGGAAAGTTTTAGAAAGGATATTTCCTCCTTTTCCAATGCAAACTGGTTTGAAAAGTCTGTGACGATGATAGCTATAAGTTTGTATTGGTTTGAATGGGGGTTTGTAACAGTGGTTCCCAAACATAAGTTGTACAGAGAATGAAGTTTTGAAAGGGGTAATGAATAAAGCTTCGTACGAATGTGATGAATACCTAACGGCTTTTGTATAAATGGCAGCAGGTCATTAATAGAGACATCATGGAGAGTAGAGTTTAAAATGTTCATCATATTCACCGAGCTACAGGAAGGAGAAGATAGAATACCTGTACCACCAATTTTGTCATTGCAACCATATGGTGTCTCAGTTCAAAATTGTCGAATCCAGGAGTATTCTTTTTGTCTACGGAGAGGTGTTGCAAGGTGAGGATTGTTAGTCCTGTGATATATTTTGTCGATGACGCGAACTTGCATAGAAAGGATTGAATGATCAGGCTGGTTAAAATGCTTGTAAACAATGTCGCTTGCATTGTTGTTAATGTCTGATCTATGGCCGCACGTTTATTTAGCATTCCTTTCGTTTCACCGACATATACCAATCCGCAAGGTTACACTTTAATCCGTAGACGACATTTGTTGATTTACAATTCAGATCATCGAAGCTTCTGGTAAAATAAGATTTTTTAGTTAAATTGCTAGTGAATTGAGCATCTGTTATTTAAATTTTACAGGTTTTGCAGTTTTTTGTTTTACATTTCGAAATGAGACAGTGTTGTTCAGAGTCATTAAAATCCAAAATGTTTTGTAGAAGAACTGAACACGGAATCGTACGAAAACATTTGCTGTTGTCATTAGTATGACGATCTGAATGTGTCATATTAGAGATATTTATCATGTCTGGTGATGAAGGGACTCCTGCCATATCAGACGACATCGTGTCCATGGTGACGTCTGTTTCTAACCTTTTTATACTGGGCGACGTCCGAGCAACTCATAAGTCAAAAATAAAATGCAATAATCATGGCTTAATAATGAAAAAGACCAAACAGACAAACAACAGTACACAAAACACAACATTGAAAACTAAAGATTGAGCAACATCGTGTTACTCATGTTAGTACAAACCCGGTGATAAGTCTTATTCGGTAGGTCACATTCGGGGAAAAGGGGACGTTAGGCATAATACATCAAATTAATATAATTTATAACGGGTTTCTCCTTATAAAAAAATTATTACAATATATTTTATAGCATGCTCTATTTCTTCCCACAATGCAACAGTAAGCCATGCGGTGTATCTCAACATGTTATGCATTTCGCAATGACATGTTCCTAAAAATTGTTCGAAGGCCTTAAATTTGGATTAAAAGTCTTGTTTCCTTTACTTTTTAAAAAATATTGTCATACAAAAAATGCTAACTTAAAGAAATGTCCATTTGCTGGAATAGCATTTCCAGTACCAATTTTAAATATATAACATCTTGTGCATCCAACTGTTAATCTGTCATACTGAAAGTAAAGACATTCGCCAAGTTGTAAACATAAGGAACCACATGCTACCACACCGCACCGGTTTACACTAAAAATTTCTTCGAGGGCATTGACAGATCCTGAATAGAGATCAAAGCGTCCCTTTGTTCCACCAAAGTTCCCTCTGATGCTACTACTGCATGATGGTGTGTCTAAAAATTTAAAAGAAATTCAAATAAGCATCAACTCCATTACCGATATCATATAAAATACAAATATGTCTCAACGACAATCATTAGTTTGATAGCTATGAGAAATTCACTTTCATGAATATTATAACCATGAGAAATTCACTTTACATAAATATTTTAACCTTGACAATTGCACGTTACATAAATATTGTAACTATGAGAAATTCACCTCACCTAAATATTGTTACAATGAGAACTTCACATTGGTTTCTAAAGGAAAGTTTTCTCATTGGCAATCATACCACATCTTTGAATTTTATGGTATTTTGGTGGTATGTAATAAAAAAGCTTATAAAAACAGAACACTTTTTTTTATTATCTAAAGACGACATTACTTTCACATTCTTCACTGGTAAATTTCAAGTGACATTTGATTTCTTTTTTAATCTTTAGTAGCTGGGAGATGGATTTAATGGAATCATGTAGTAAATTACATCCCGGATTGCCTTATAATGATATGTTATGATTCGATACCCATATTTCAAGTGATGACTTGTTTATATATCGTGACTGTGTTGTTCGTTAATTTTCAGAAATAATTTTTCAAATCGGAAGGGCAAAAGATCTTATAAGCATGATTCAGGCGAAGTTATTTCACTCTAGTTTCACCATAACCTTGTCTTTCATATACAAAGTCATTAATGATGGTAAATGAAGTAAATTGATACAAAATTTTACAAAAACATAAAAAAAATTGCGATATTGTAATATAATTTTTTGTTCAATGACAATGTATAGCACTGTTTAACATTTTTACTTGATGAATGTGTGTTCAGTTTTTGCAAACTGATGTGTTTTATTAAGAAAATTTAATATTCAAATTTCAGCATAGGTTTTAATTATGAACTTTCGGTTTTTGATCCTGTGAGTAAAATAAATGCAAGGGAAATGTCCTTCTCTTTCCTGACCTTCATCCCGATCGACCAATTTTTCATCCTTGCGGAGTGTAAGTAGCAAAGGAAGAGTGCCAAGCTCAGAACCTACTAATTGGATATAGTGTTTATTCATTCTCGTCCTTAATATGCATGGAATATTTGTCACTGGATTTTATACAAACAACAACCAGTCAATCAATTCTGTGTTTAAAAAGAACAGTAATACTATTTAATGGAAACACCATTTTTTGTTTTCTTTCAAAACCTCATAATCAACTTTTTCTAATGAATGTATAATTCATAAGCTTCTCAATGAGGACGAAAAAATAACTTCAAGTGAGATATTTTTATCACCACGAATCAAGGGTAGCTCCATCCGACCAGTGAAAAATTCGACATTCTTTATTCCAGACCAAAACACTTTTTTTTATTGATACTGGCATCGTCAAAAGAGTGTGAATGTCAATAAACTTGCATTCATCTTTTTCACAAAACCGTACCAAAAATGCAGGTTGACACCTGAAACCACGTCTCAAAAATTACCCGGGTTTTAGAAATGATTACTGAGTGCCAGTCTTTGTAAGAATCAGGCTATTTAGAAGAATTTCATGGCAAAAAAAAAAACAAAAACCCGCCGACCTTACCATCTTATTTTGAAATTACCCTCATTCTGAGTTAGAAATGGTAAATATTTCGTTTCTGCGTATCTGATAATTCTGGAAATCTTAAGATTACTTTTGGTTAAAATTATAGCAAATTATGGAGTTATCTCCCCTTAATTGTTATTTCTAGTACATTTCAACCAAATTATCTCATGAAATACCAGAACAGGAAAAGGAAACGAATGTTATATTCGTGAAGCATTATACATTCTGAACTTAAATTAATGCAAACTTGAGCGGGTTTTTGTTTATCGTGTTTTCACCAATCCCGATTATTAGGTAGATTGGCACTTAAATAATGGAATGACATTTATAAACCGATATACTGCGACGACATAATGGCGGAGGGAGACTATGTTATTTGAGAGATGCTCAATCAGAAGTTAGTCAAAGTTAATTGAACACTGAAAAACTAAAATAAATACGAAAAAGCTTAGGAAAATATAAAGAATTGTAACATCTTATATAATTACTTACATGTATCCCGTGTGGGTGAAGTACATGGCGTCTTTGTTAAGGAAATACTTGGTTCCGAATCACTGTGAAAGCCGACACATGTAATTAAGCCTTCAAAATTTCCGAAAGAGCTATCGAACATTCCACCAACCCGAAGAGTGCCCGGCACAGGGAAGATTACATTGTCTTTATAAGATTCATCTTTATCATACACTTTACTGGTACCCATGTACATCCACATTTTCCCAGTTGATTTATCTATTCCATAAGAAATGTAGTACCACTCGTCTTGCGAGACACTTGACCCACAAACCTCGGTTTCGGTTTTAGATTGTAACACCCTTGCAAAGTGAATTTGTTTAGTTACAAGCCACAATTTAATATCTTGCAAGTCAGTGACCGGATCATCAGGTTTGTAATGAAATAAGGCACCATTCTGTATCGGTGTTCTTAACCAAAAAGAGAAAGAAAAATCGCTCACAGTTACCCCTTCAAGTCTGATATCGTAATGAGTGCTTCCGTCAAATACTGCACTTTGAATTGAAAATCCAGGAGGTTTTATGTTACTAAATGTCATATCACACCCTGCGGAATCATCTTGAGTTGGGTTATTTATGTTTACCTCACGGGCATATGCTTTATCGTCAAATGGCCAAAGAAGTTTCAAATTTGCTTTCGACAGTGTAATAAGACCTGAAAAAATAAGATGTTAATTTTGCGATAATGCAAGCCTTGAAAACAATAGAATGGTCGCCTATTTCTGTGAAAATATCTGTCCTAGATGAAAACGGTTTGTGTCAAATGGGAAGACAGATTAGTAAGCTGTCGGTTTTCTACATAAATAAAAATATCAAACATTATTTTGTACAAGATTTACAAAAAACATCGATGTAATTTTAATCCTTTTTGTACTATTCATTTAAAACATACTAACAGAAAAGTTCAACAATTCTTGTAAACCATAATAACAGAAAAGTTTAACAATGAAAAACAACTGATAAAAAGCATCATCATTTTGTCATCAAAAGTATTTTGCAATTATCTACAAATTTAACAAACAATGTTATAAAATAAGTGATTGAATTAAATTCCACTACGGCACTACTATTGATAAAAATTCTAAAATATAAAAACATTTCAATGAAAAATAAAATAAAATAAAATAAATGGACGAGAACGTGGTTGTGCAGAAATGTATTGTTTAATATGAAAAAGGCAAGACATATGGAATCTAAAAAAAAGTCCTTTCGATTGCTATTCTAACAAATAAATCCATCAGCTTCTCGTCATTAATTCGTGCAATGCTACTTAGAATGTAGGCCACAACTTTTAAATAAAAAGCGAACTTGTTGATAAAAACCTGTATATTTCCTCAGATGATATACTTTTTCAGAAAAATATTGAATAAAACAATATTTACAATATATACAGTATATACAATATTTATCTTAAACAGCATAATTTCAACAGTTTCAAGCTTAAAGTTATGTATATTATAATATTACACTCTGATCTTACCTTGCAAGACTAGAACCTCTGTCAGCAACGTCATGACTGAAGAATAATTCCTGTTATCAATACTCATAAAAATAAACCTCATAATTGTCAAATCGATTTTGCCAGACTTCAGAAGGTAAGGTTTTTCTATAATTAAATTCCAGTTTCTAGCCCAGTCGTTCAATTTAGTATTAGGAAGTATTGGATTTGATAAGGCATGTTTTTTTCTTACACCACAAAAGCAACAGTGATTCTAACGGTGTATATATCAGTTACCTCAGTACCGGAGAAGAAAATTTAATAACAGATGAACATTCACGGTTCTACAATATTTTCAATACCTTTATTGTGGCATTGCACAAGGGCATGTTCCTAGTGAAAACAGTGTAAACTTGCATTTTTTTTATACACTTTCCCAAGTTATTTCTTGATATTTTATGCATGAAATATTAAGGGGATGAAATTACATGTTAAAAAAATTTGGGTGCTGAATCTTTATGTTAAGTAGTGATTTGGTCCAGTTAAAAAAGGTCAAAAATTAGAATGTCTGAAGCTGTCAAACTGATTTTTAGCCCCCCTTAACACAGAATTGTCAATATTTTGAGTTAGAGCTGGTAGAAGTTTCTATAATTTTGATATTATTTGTATCAATAGTAGTACACTACACAGTAAAAATCTTTTCGAGATAGAGCAGGTGCGATTTTTTTAATTTGAATTTACTGTCTAAAAGAAATGCACTACGAAATAACTGTGTTCTCGGGCCTACTGATTGATACTCTAGTCTTAAGTACACGATTTTTTTTATTAGTTGTTATAGCTTTGAACTAGCTGTCAGTAACTGCGAGTACTTTCAGATCTGTACTTTGTGTCTTTTTTGTTGTTGGGATGTATAAATACCCTGCCACGTCCGTTCTGTGTTTTTGTTACTTGTTTTTCTGCTTTGCATCGATATGATGAATTAAGCCCTTTTCGCCAGATTTATATAATTTGTATATATATTGTGCTGTTACACCACTGTCCTAGGTTAGGGGGAGGGTTGGGCGGCCGCAAACATGTTTAACCCCGCCACATTCTGTATGTGCCTAACCCAAGTCATGAGCCTGTAATTCAGTGTTTGTCGTTTGTGGCTGTATATCATATTTGTTTTTCGTTCATTGTTTTGTACATAAATCAGGCCGTTAGTTTTCTCGTTTGAACTGTTTTACATTTGTCAGTTCGAGGCATTTTATAGCTGACTATGCAGTATAGGTTTTGCTCATTATTAAAAGCCGTACGGTGACCTATAGTTGTCAACTTCTATGTCATTCGGTCTCTGGTGGAGTGTTGTCTCATTGGCAATTATACTACATCTTCTTATTTTTATATTACCTTCTGCCTTGTTGAATAGTAAAATATCTTTCTAGTAGTTTAATACGTTAGTACAATTATCAGTATCGCCGCGATATAGCCTTTTTGTGCTGAGGCGGAGTAAAGCAAACACCAATCAATCAATTATTAGTTAGAGATAAACTTAATTCACTTTGAGTTTTAATGTTTTAAAGCCAGTCCTTAAATCATCAGAGATGAAGATTCAGACCAGAAGGTTTTCTTTTATTTTCAAATGCAGACCGTTTTTTTTTATTTATTTAAAAACAAACTCTTTATTTCAATAATTAACAAGAACAAGAAAGGAAGGAGTCACACATTGCATGGCAGAAATAGAACAAGACAGAAAAGACAGTTGAACAAAACTGAAAAAGTTTATACGAAGACGATGGGACTGCACACATGGTTTACAAAGACGGAATTTCCGAATTAGTCCATCGTACGGCCGTTCTAAAAATAACATGAACACACGCTTTGCAAATATGATTAAAAACAAGATTCTTCGTTTATGATGTCTCTTTGTATTTTCTGGTTGCTAGGAAGCTTATTTATCCTGTAACAAAAAAAAAATCCATCTAAGGTAAACTTTGCCTGAGGGAGTTGAAACCTTAATTTTTTAAAAATGATTTATCTACGGAGAACTAAATTCCATAAGTATGTTACCAAGCATGCTAGTACCGAGGCACAGACTACTGAGGTGATGATACTCTCGGGGACAAACAGTCCATCAGCAACGGTATCGAACTAGAGCTAGAAAAATGAAAATTACACCATAAATTTAATTGGTCCGAAGCAAAAAAAGAAATAATAAAAGATACAAACACAAAAAGGATCGGCTAATCTAAGCTACTGTGTAACAATTCTTTGAAAATTGATATGACTGTCCTTGGTATACTTAAAACTATTTGCCAATTTGCCAAAGTAAATCGTATTAAAGTCCAGAATAATTATATATTTGGAATATATACCATAATCAGAACTGATATTTTAACATTATAAAACCAATTTTTATATTTATTGTTTTAATTTGATAGAACTGAGCATTTTGTGTTAAAGATGCAAATATTTTGTTGTGCTTTTTACAATACCTTGTAAATACCTTAATTTACTTTCTTACCTAAGATAAATCTTTATTTGATAAATCATACTGTATTTGTATAAATACGAACCAAAAACTTGAGAAAAATGCTGTTATTTCCATGTTCTGTGAGATATAATGCTCCACAACAAATAACAACTACATCTTACAGTGTTGCACTAATAACATTTTTACACAGAAGACACACATGTTACACATTGTAACAATTATCTGAAATGTGTGCTTTGTGTAACCATTAAATAAAATTGAGAATAGAAATGATGAATGCGTCGAAGAGACCACAACCCGACCAAAGAGCAGAAAACAGCCCAAGACTTCCAATGGGTCTTCAACACAGCGAGAAAATATCGCACCCGGAGGAGGGCTTCAGCTGGCCCCTAAACAATAATGTATACTAGTTCAGCGAAAATGGACGTCCCACCAAACTCCGAAACATATAATTGAACCAAAATTAAAAAAAGAAAAACATACAAGAGTAACAAAGGCCAGAGGTTCCTGACATGGGACAGGCGCAAAAATGCGGTGGGGTAAAACATGAAGTCCGAGTCCGATGTTAGAATAGGTAACAGAAGAAACTAAGCAAAATGAAAATAATCAAAATAAATTAACAAAGGAATACTAGCAGTTACTGACATGCCATCTTCAGACCTCAATTAAACTGACTGAAAAGATTATGTCTTCATCATATGAAAATCAAACACTTTTATATAAGTTTCCTTTTTTTATTTTTATTCTTATTTTTATTTTTGTTTACATGTAATAGTTAAACAAACAAATGTAATCAATATGTAATCAATTGTTTATTATTCAACTTGATTGAACAGCTCGTTACTTGCCGTCATTATTGAAAAAAAAATGTAAATGTATTGATTGTTGGTTGCTTAACGTCCAGAGGCAAATAGTTATATGCATCAGGACGATATTGTATTGTAAGTTTATTGAAACATGTAAATACATTGTCCGGGTAAGCAAATAAATATTTCAAATGTTAATGTCACAAATTGTATATATAAATAATTCAATCAAAAGCATGGGAAATTGCAGCCATGTTGTTCACTTACAGCAAATAAAAATTCCAAAGTTGTTTGTTTCAAGTATAAACCTATACAAGAAGTATGACTTACATCTGACTAACAACAGTAAGCAAATAACATGTATGTGTCACAAAATGTGTCCATGGTGTTACCATACATCATAGATTTCAGCACATGTATCATACTATTTTATTAAGAACTGCAGGAAAGTAATTCTAATGATGTAAATTATTTGGTATCTATGCAATTTTTTTACGGTTTAGTATTACAACAAATGACAAAAAGTTTATAAAAGTCCACTGTGTAATACATGATGTCCATTGAGTAACATTTTTTCTCAATTTTTCACCAAATAGAGTTAGAAGATGTGGTATGAGTGCCAATGAGACAACTCTCCATCCAAGTCACAATGTGTAAAAAGTAAACAATTATATGTCAAAGTACGGCCTTCCACACGGAGCCTTGGCTCACACCGAACAGCAAGCTATAATAGCCCCCAAAATCACTAGTGTTAAACAATTGAAACAGGAAAACCAACGGTCTATTCTATATAAAAACGAGAAACGAGAAACACTTATGAACCACACCAACAAACGACAACAACTGACAAACAGGCTCCTACAACATAAAAAGACACACTATAAAGACTATTTCACCATTGACTTATTTGAGAAAAAGGTATCTGAAAAATAATGACAATTGCTCCCTTAATTTTAAAATGTAGAGCGTCTGATTTTAAACTTTGCATACATTTTTTGGCTGAAAGTATAATTTTGTAATATACTTTGCTAGCTTCAATCTCAGCTATCTATATAATCCTTATAATTGTTACGCATGCAGTTGTTCTTGCTTCATAAATAAAAATTCTCCAGAAATATTGTTTCAGACAGTTTCGTCTACAATTCAAGGGTTGGAAAAGATTAGTTTGTGACAGAATATTTTAAGAAATTCATTTAAAAAAAAATACTTGATTTAATTTAATTTTAAGTAAGGAACAGGTCATAAATACAAGTACAACAATACCTGTTTAAAAGAATTAGTATATGTTAAAAACATGTTCAGCTGTATGCATCATCGTCCATGCTATTTTCGCTGTCGTTTTTGAGTAATGTACTACGATGTTTTTTTGTTGCTAAAAATGAATCATTTTGCAATTGGTCAGAATGTCTTATATTAAAAGTCAGTACTTAGTTATTGAAATCTGTCGACTGTTTTTACAATAATAAGTATTCCTTCAACGCTTCGAATTTGTCTTTAAACTTAAGTGCTCCAGAGCTGTCTCTTCTAATACACACACGTATGACTTGCAACGAAACGAAAAATTCACCAAAAACAGACATTGGAACTCATGTACTCTAGAAATGTAAGATAAGAACCGTATCAAAAATATCAACATTTGAACACTTCTACTCAAGAACTCTAAGTATTTTTTACAAACAATCGAACATTTTCTTGTCTGAAACTACCATGCAATTCTAAACAAAGATTATTTCCATTGCATCACATTGAGACAAATACAATTTTATTTTTTCATATCGACTAATACAGACTAAGTATTCCGATATTTGTCAGAATATACTTTTTTTGTTTCCAAGGAATACTTAATCTTTATGAACCAAACCAGTAAGACAATTATCCGATAAGTCATTCTTCAAGTAAATAATCAGAGTGAAAACCCCGTCTCTACAACAAGAGGAGTAGTCAGTGTTTTGAAATGTAAGACAAGATGAAAATGAAAATTCCAGCCCAAATGTCAGTATGTTTTGCAGAAAATAAATGTGTACAAAATTGAAAATATTTTTTCCGCAGCTTAACATAATTAATATTCCCCAAAATAAGATGAAAATGAATGCATGTTTTACCCGATATAATTATGTACAAAATCGAAAATAAATTTTCAAACAGCTTAAAATAAATAATCTTCCCCACGACCGTATGAAAAATAGAGATACTGTGAGCAAAGTTCAAAAAATGATAACCCCGTCAAAGTCCATGCTTTGCACATCTTCTTATTTATTTTGGTAAGGAAAACCTCTCAAAACATTGAATTCAAAACAAAAAAGGAGGTTCACATTGGAATTAGATGGTGGAGATTCAATTGAAGATACTGTAACAATTTACTTTGCTTTGATAGATTGAATATTTACATTGAAACATCGATCGATTCTGAATTATATAATACTTTCGATTTGAAACATTTTTTTCTTGATAAACTTCAAATGCAAATACATGGTATTGTCAAATCTATATTCTGTTCATACTAACAATTATCAATAGCAATAAGCACAATGAATGGATACACAAGAAAACTTTTCATTTTGCTATTTCCAAAAAAAAAAAAGTAAATAGATTCATTAAAGTAATCTGCATTTGAAATACTTAGCTTAGAAAGCCAGCGATGGATAATACAGACGAGACAGAAGCCTGTAAGTCAGTAGTTATCGTTGGCTGCTGTCTTCCATTTTTTTTCGTTCATTGTTTTCATCAATCAGGTATTTGGTTATCTCTTTTGAATTGTTTCACATTTTGACATGTTGGGACTTTTTATAACTGGCTATTCGATATGGGTTTTTGTTCATTATTGAAGTCCGTATCGTGGTCTATAGATTCTAAGATCCATGTCATTCTTGTTATTCCATTGTTGTATCGTTGGCAATCGTTCCACATCTCCTTATTGTTAAATGGGAAGCTATATAACAGAAAATTTTCACATTTTGCAATATTTTTCCGATTCTTAAATTGTACATGTCATCGTCAATCAATTCATTTATTTCATTACTGCCATTGCTTTTATTGATAAATGTTTACAATTAAATCTATTAAATTTTTGAAAAGGATGAGTGAAAATGCAGAAATTATTTGTCAGAGTTCTTATACTATATAGATAACGATATACTGCAAAATAATCGTTATTCAAAATTCCGAATTAAAAAAAAAAGATTGAAGATTTAGAGAGTGAAAACAAACCACGAAGCTGTTGACGATGACTCTATCTAATAAGTGTTGGAGACTTTTAAATAATTTCAAAACATTGGACAGTCGTGATCAGCATCTTGTCTATAAATATAATGTTACTCATAAAAATAATATCAGACCACATTTATTCTAATCCTTACTTCTGTTTTTATGTCGTAATTAGAATTAAAACATTTTTTCAACAATAAAGGATTTAGGCGTGATATGCTAACTAATCCAGTTAAAATGGTTCTTTCTTCCGATACGATTTTAAATAATTATTGGCCTCTCACAATTACTGTCGATTTCAATCCAGTTTTATGAACAGACTGCACGAAACCTAGAATGAGTGTTGTATCTGATTTATTGTTTTCCTGAGCGACAGTATTGAACCAACAACTATTGATACATAAGCGTAGCTTCCTGTTGCAGCAAGTACAATTTGACACTTGTTAAAGTATGTGCCATCTTGTATTTCCTAGGTTTTATTAAAAAAATGTTTTGTCATAATCTGACTTGCATGCGACATTCAATATACATCAATTTCATTTATTCATTTATTCAAAAATACTTTCTTTTCAGACATAATGCTTAGAAAAGTGTAAGTTTTTGATACGGTGATATATTATTTCAATGTTTTTCTATGTTTCCGTACTTGCGTTTTATGCATATATTTCATTTTTTTTTATGGCTTCATATTCACAAAAGTTCATTAGTATCATAGATAATTCTGTGCAAAGTTTCCTACTTTTACTATA